CAAGACATTTGGTGCCAGGGGGCAGAAGCGCTCTCAAATGCAGCGGCACGGCGCCATGTGACCCCGCCAAATGCTGGAAAAGCCGGTGTTTTCCGGTCAATTGAACCCCGGAAACTGAGGCAACGGCGGGTGTTCACCTTAAACAGTGCAATGGCAAATAAACGTGTGCTCCCCCCTTCAATTTAATCCCCTACAACAGCAGAAGAGGAGAGATTTCCCTCAAATCTCTCGAACGATGGGGAAAGGAGGATTTTTATCTCCGTTCAAACCCTTACAATTCAGGGACAACAGGGCCATGAGGTATTTAAAACTTTAGTGTATGAAGAATGCTTTTTTCGTAGAGTTCGACTCATTCTTAGTTCTGAAAGTCTGTGCATGTGAACAGTCCTGCTTAAGTTCGATTTCTTACATAAACAGCTCCTGTAGACAGGTAGAACAGGGAGGGTGAGTTCGCTGCAGAGAGGAGACTTTTCCTTTCCCCTCAGCCAGGCGGGGGAGCAGCAGGTCTGGATATTCTCCTGCAGTGGAGCCTCTTCTGGTTTGTAAGTGCCTTCAGAACACCCTGACTTCAGGGAGTGTTTTTTATTCCTAAACGATGAGAAAACAGAGCTGATAGCATTGGATCCTCTCTAGATGCTTGCTGTTCATGTTTTCAGGCTGTACCTGCATATTTTAAGCTGGCTACATTTTAACTGTAATTTATTGTGGTTAATTGGAGTGAAAATGCAGAAACTGGAGCCAGCAGAAATTGCTGTGGAAAGCACTTTGCTGCTTACAGGGTGGACAGTGTTTCTGGGCTTTTACTGTGCTGCTATTTTCTGCCTTTATCTAGATGAAGGTACATCTGCCCCTCCTGCTACGCTACACCCAGTTCCTGTGGAAAGGGGAGAGGATTTTTGCTTTCTTCCTTGGAGAAACCCTTACCCATGTGGAGGTCATGGAGCAGGTAAGCACCGTCACTGCTCTCTTTCTCGGCACATCTTTAGAAGAAGAGTGTTAATCCTGTTCTTGTTTGGAGTGAAAATGGTGGGATCGCGCTCATGAGGTCTGCTCTGGACTCTGCACACAGCGTCACTCTTTGTGATGAGTCTACACTGGGGGTGGGTTATGGACCACCAGTAGGAGTTTCCATCTTCTTGATGTGTTTTGGACACTAAGTTCCTCCTCAGTGTTGTAGGACTGAGCATTTCACTGGAGTAGAGAGACCTGACTAAAAGATACAGACCTAAACTCTCAGATCCATTAGTGGAGAGTTGGATGCCATGAGTCTCTCTGAAAATCACTGCCCTCAGCCATTTTGGGCGTTTTCCTTGGCGACACACATTTTACGTGGTGTGCTGCTTTGGGACCCGTGTCTCTGCAGTGACAGCAGTGGGGAGGATCAGTGCACACAGCAGGAGTGCTCTGGGTGAGGCCAGGACTGCCCTCGACTGCTCTTCAGTCCCTGCTTGGTGTTCTCATGCCCAGTCTCCACAAGGCATTGCTGCAGCATGTGGGGTTTGCTCGTTCTAGGCTACAAGAGGATGAGTTTATAATGGCTTTCTAATTTACAGAGCATAACTTGGTTTGGCTGTAAGCATTCAGAGAAAAAAAAAAAAAAGAGTTTCAATTGCAATTGGAGCAAATCATAATAAGGAAGCTGCTGGCAATAGTCCTTGTGGGGTAGGGAAGTCTTATATGCAGTGATTTAGAGAGTACATTAAATTAATTATAAGCTCCTAGAAGTTAATATTAGTTAATATTAGCTCGATTAGACTAAAATCACCCTTACCTTTTATTTTTGGAAGTTCATTAAGTGAGGATGTTTATGCTCATGTTCAGTTGCATCAATTGTCTTATGATCCGTTTTGCTTGCATCTTTTTCTTTCTACGAGTCCTTGAAACCTACAAATCATTAAAGAGAGCAGTCATGCCTATAGTTAGAACACTGTCTAAATCCTTAACAGGATTGAAAAAAATCACCCCTGCAGCAGCATCCTATTTTTGCCTCAAGACCTGCAATTAATGGCTTTCTGGTTCTCTTTGGGGTTTTTAATGCAGTTTTCTCTCTTTTAATCTTTATTTTGTTGATTATTTATGACAAATAAATAATCATAATGCAGACATTACATTTTGTGATCTCAAATAGTTATGTCAGTGTATTTACATAGATAAAAAAAAATCTGGCCTATAATTGTCAATATCACTGTCTTGGTGAGCAGTATGATGAAATAACTTTTTTCCCCATCAACCTTTAATTTGCATTTAAGATACTACATAAACATTGATATTATTTTGATATGTTATCACTTATGAAAGCTTCTCCTCCCATCAAAAAAACAAAAAAGGAAAGGAAAAAAATCTCGTGGCAAGATAAGATATCCACTGTCACAGAAAAGCATTATTGCTTGTCAGTCACTGCATTGTTTCTCAACATCTGTTCTGAGTTTGAACACCTGTATGCCCCACAGACACCAAGAACCTTCATTATTCCACATGCAAATGCAGAAAATACAAAACGTATTTTAGTGGCATTTCAAGTGTAATCATCCTGTTTGCATTGGTATGCATAGCTCACATGATGTTTCATTTGTTTTCTGTCCAAAATAACATTCCTTTTGCAAAGTTTAGCTTTGGATATGGAGAAATACAAGGGTTTCAAATGCCATTCAGACTTCAAACTAACATCTGCCTTAGAGATCTCGAGGAATTGGGACTGGAGCTTGGCTGTGAGTGCTTGAGTTATGGTTGTTGTTGCTGGAGGGTGTAGCTCACGCAATCCTTAGTGCATCTGCCAAAAAACAGTTATGAGAACTTTCAACTTTTATTTCATTTCAGCAGGAAAAAAAAATTACCTGAGTTAAGAACCTGTGATACGTTTTAATTTGGAAATACCAGTTTGCCCCTTCCTGAAAGGACTGGAAAATTCCACTTTATAACGTTTAATTTGAGTAGGCACATTCAAAAGGAGTCCTTTCTAGCTGATAGTTCAGTGGAGCCTCTGGTAGGCTCCAGTTAAGGCCTGATAGACGTGGCACAAAAGATGTGATAGAAATTTAGCAAAGGAAGTTACCAACGGAGTGCAAAAATCTCAGACAGCACCAATTAATTTATCCCCTCTGCACTCAATGATGTGAAATCAGTCTGCAGCAGCACTAGCTCCCATTTGTTTATGTAATTGTGGGAATAAAATCTAGTGAAGCTCCTGAAAGCAAAATTTTACCTTTTGTTATTAATTTTTGTTTCCTCCCATTGCCATTTTTGGGTCAACAAATTCAGACAGAACAAGAGCAGAAGCAGTTCTGGTATGAATATTATCATTGCATGTTACTATTGAATATATGAAATACAGGAGTGGGAATATTCCTAGTGTATATGTAGGTGTAGTTTTTTTTTCCAATTTGTTGTTTTTAAACCGGTTTTGACTGTTCCATATGCTTGCATGTAAACATTAGTTCGTGTAAATCAAACCTCAGGTGTGTAAAGACAGTAACAAAACTACAAAGGGATGCTCCTTTCTCTCTTTCTAATCTTAATTTTGATCTTTTTTATAAATGATATTAGAATTTTGACAACTAGGTCCCTTGAGTTAACAGCAGTTTAATTAAAAATGAATGAAATTTAGTAAATTGAATAGTGATTTGGTATAAAAGAATACAGTTTAGTAAAAGAATACAATTTACCAAAAAATTACAATTTATATATATAATCTGCCAGTAATTAAGTATGATTAAAGCATAAGCAAAACCGACCGGGGTACGGAGGGGGTTCCCCACCCTGCCTCAGGTACAAAACAAAACACCTCAAGCTAAACTCATGTACTGTGTGTTTATACATATTCATTCATGTTTCCTGACAGTTTCCTCCTATTTCCCATTTTTCTGACTTTATGTCCCTTTCCTTCACGGCCCGTGCCTCACTTGTTGTTAGGGGGTCTCCAGTCTTCTTTTGGTGGTCTTTTGGTGAAGGCTTCTCCTCTTCCTCGTTGTCCTTTGGATAACCTCACAGGTTTGTGTGAGCGTACTGAGCGTTGTGTTATGTTAGTCTACTAATTAGTCTGATAATTACTGGGTTTTAGGCCCAATGCCTAAATTGTTCTAATTTTGTCCATCTCAAGGCCGTTTTGGTCTTGGGACATCACTGATCTTCCAAACTCCATCCTGTACCTCAATTTTAACGTGTAACATCTGTAAGGGGTGCCTCTGCCTTGTAACACCGATTCTTTTGCTTGCCTCTAATAATAACTTTAATAACAGTTGCAATTTAGTTTGCACAAATCAATTCAATGTATTACAATCTTGAAAAAAAATCCTGAAAGTTAAAGTTCAAATCTTCTAATTATTGTGTCAGGAAGAAGAAAGAAACAGAAGAGCAAGTGATCTCCAGCCTCTTTCTTTCATCCCAAACTTTGTCTAAAAACCTGGAGGTGCTTCTCACAGGATTGCCAAGTTACCCTACTTCAAGGGGATGCCCAGGATTTACAGTATTGGTTCCCTGGGAACCCAGACTGAGTCTCCTTTTTTTAATGCTGCCTTCATTTGGTTACTGAAGATCTTCTCTATTTATACAGTACATTTTTGATAGAAATCTATACGCTGGTTTTAGATATACCACCCATTCTGTTACAACTTGATTTCTGTTGGTAAGTACTGCTAGAGCAGAACCTCGAAAGCAGTCACCGTCTTACTCTTCTTCTTCTGAGCTGTTGTCAGGAACTGCATTTAGTCTAAATATCTGTCGCTAAAGGACACAAAATGATTCACACCAACAATCTCAATGTCAGAATAAAAAAACGTGCCTTTGTTCTCTGACTCCAGTATTTATAGATTCTCAACAATAACCAGCAATTGGATAATTAAGTTACCACCTTCCCAAGCACACTGGTCATGAGAAACATCCATCAAAACACATCATCCTTAGAAGGAATGTGATAACTTATCACATTATTATAGGACTTCCATGGGAAAGTAACTAAAAGTATGAAAACACTATCAGAAGGTTTAATTTTCAGGGTGACAAATATCCATGCTCAGTGCCCCGTTACAGAGCTGTCCATAACATCACATGCTTTTCCAGTTCTTTATTTTAAAAGGGAACATCATCTGTTTAAAGCCTTGCACTCGACTCACAGCACTGTGACCTGAAGCAAACGTTTGTCTCCTGTTCCGTAAGAGGGGCTGGCTCAAACCCCGGCAAAGAGAGACCAGCGAGCGTGTCTTGCAAAAGTAACTGTAACACATTTTTATCTTTGTCCTACCGTCAGGGTGTGCACCTGTCTAAATAGGGCCTGCACAGATTCTGACACGGATACGTTCATTACTTACAATGTGGGTATTGGAACCTTTGTCCAAATCTTTACTGAATTCCATAGAATTGAGTAAACTGGCTGAATTCAACAGCTCCTGGAAAATCAGGTGGAGAATCTTTTTGTGCATGAGGACAGGAAACATTTTTTAGGAATTGCTGCCTTTGCCTTTCTGCAGTGTTGCTCCCAGGGTATCTCAGGGAAACGCAGACCTTGCTGCTGGTGGAAATGCTGTTGTGAGTGCTCAGCAGCAAAGCGAGGGGAGAGCAGGTCCTGGTGTAAACAATAACAGCCCTGGCTCGGCAGAGGCTGGAGCTGAGTGGGGTTTTGTCCCTGGCTGCAGTTTCAGGCCTTCCCTGGGTGCCTCAGACACGCGGGGTTTGAAGCAGCGACCTGCAGGTTGGGTTTGGCAGCCAGAGCTTTCCACGGCTGTGCTGGCAGCCAGGAGGAGAGCAGCGTCCCAGCTTTCCTGGCCACTCCGAGCAGCTCTGCAGCTCCCTGCCTGCGCTTTCCAGCACAGCTCCAGCCAGGGGGGATGTCTGCATCAATCCCCGGCCTTCTCTCGGGAAATGGCCCGGCTAATTTTAGAAGCAGGAACAGCGCAAAGAGGCCCATTTCAAATGCAGCCAGAGCACCTCCCCTCTAATCAGCGCTGAAATCTGATTGATGCTGAAGCCTTTCCTTAACAGAATGTTTATTGCTCTTAAAGGGGGTGGGGAGAAAAACAACACAAGAGATCTTTTACAAGGCAGACATAAGTGAACAGAAGCTCTTTAAATATGAACTTGTGGGAACCGGCAGACTGATGCAATATATCACGGGGACAAGAAAGGCCAGACAACAGCTTGCTGGGGCATAAAATCAGATGGGGAGAAAAGAAACCATGGTACTTTTTGCCTGACACGACCTGAGGAAAATTACTGGCTGTTATGTGGCTCTTGCATGGTTGTCTCAGGCATATCATGTTCTCTAGTGATTAAAATACAACTTCTGGTCACAGCAGGAACCCAAATGCTCTTCTGAATTTTGTGCAAAGTGTGACAGCCATTCCTTCAACCCAGGTGGTGTTTCAGAATATGCTTCGACAACTGCTTTTTATTGCATTTGATTCCTGTATTGTTGCACTGAATGAAAACATGGGAAGCCCAAAATCTTCTGGCAATATTCTGTTTATAAGGGGAAAGGTCACCTGCTCTCAGGGTCTGTGGATGTTGTATGGATTCACACCATGCCAGGAAGGTAGGGAAGACAAAAGTATGCACATTTTTGAATTTTTTACCTAAACTCTGAAGCACAAATGAATTTTTTTTCAGTGAACAGCTGCTGGAGAAAACATTTTGCTCCAGGAGTACAACTAGCGCGTTATTTTCCTGGCAGGACTACCAATGAAGACTAGGGGAGCCTGGGGCACGAACAAAGTCGCAGAGAGAGGGAGTCTGATGCATTTTTTGGCGTCTGCTCCTCAATAGACCTTTGCCATCTTCCTTTTCACAGAGGGTAGGCTGTTTTTGCACTGTTTGGTCTTGTACATAACTATCACTAGACTTGAAAATGTTACTTAGCTGCGGGCATGAGAAACTTTAACCTAAATAAGGCCTGAAGCTGATATATTTGGGCCTGGCTTTAAATGCTGACATTTTGGGCTGCAAATTAGAGCTCAGGTTGAAAGGCGCTGCATTATTTGGAACTGTAGGTACATTTCTCCTCTGACTGCTACAGGTGAAAGGATCAATTCCCTCTTATTTTTGGTAGGATGGGGCTTCCTGGTCTTCCTTATAGCTTCAGAAAGAGTCGCAGTTTTTCTCTGTACACAATGTCTGCCACAAACCTAGCACCATTCTAGAACATTTTGTTACAGCTGATTGTGCCTCAAATGTCATCTTTGGGAAGATTTTTTTTTTCCTCTCTTTAGTCTGGGCAAAAATGAGTGCTGGTGAGTGATTTTTTTGTGCGATTTAAGTTCTCAGAGAAGAGATGATGAGAGCATTAGCAGTCCTGTAATGTACAACTTGTTACAACTCCGTGCTCTGGTGGGTTTTACCAAGCTCTTGCCACAAACTTTGCTGGGAACAGACAAGCTTGTTCTGGAGGCTTTTAACAAATCCAACCAGGAACATTTTTTGAGAACTGTAGGACTTTTTTGAGGATGTATGTAAAGATCTAATGTGAGGCACAGAAGTGAAAGCCCTAAGGCAAGGAAGCAGCTCCATTGTTTGTGCTCTTAAAATGACTTTAGAGCTCAAGTCACTTCTGAGCCAAAAACAATCAGATATTAGACCTCAGTGAACTTGTGGATGTCAGAACTATTTTGAGAAATGGGAATACTTCATCGTAACCACATATTTGGCCATGATACCATGTGTGGCCCCAATTCAAAGAAACTGTAAATACTGCCGTTTATCCAAATTATTGTTCCCTTGCTATGTCTAAACCTGAAAGAAAAACAGTTTCTTAGTAGTTTGTATGCTGCTATAAATAATATTTCTCTTTATTGCATACTGAGAGAAGAATAGCACTCCATGAGTCATACTTATTGTAGGATGTGTGGACAAAGCTCTCAAGGCTTTATGAGCTTCCACAGTGTGCAAAAGCCTTAAGGTTCAACAGTCTTGCTTCTTCCAGCAATAAATTAAAGGCAGATTCCTTAAAATCCTTGGGCACGAGTAGCTGAACTTGCTTTAAGGAGCACCTTGGTACTAAGTTGCTCTCGGATTCAAACGGAGGAAAGCAAAACCTCCTCCTTATGGGTAAGGTGAAGGAAAATTTTTGTCCAGAAATTTCTTGGGTTTGATTGGTGTTATTATTCAATAAGGTGGAGGTAATGTGTTCACTGAATGCTGCAATGCACAACTGCCAGGATTGGTTTGGGGAGTTTTTAATCATTTACTAGCAATGAAATCTACTTAAGAGAAGTGACACTTGGCCATCACTTATTGCAAGTGACACAAATCCTGCTCTGTTACAGCTCTAGTCTTGTTGAAGTCCATGGCAGTAGAGAGAAAAAATCGACCCTCCTTATTATCATTTACAACTTTGAGCCAATTTGCCAGATAAGTTGCCTCAATACCATTTTGATCATTTTGATATTTCTCTTGTATCAGAATTGCTGTCTGTGGAAATTCCAATGGGACTGTATCTTTTGTAAAATGACAAACCCAAAACATGAAAAGACAGTGATTTTGAGCTGTGCAGTTCCTTGCCTACAGAATTATCTTCTGCAAATAAGTACCTTTGAGTGGCCTGAGGCAGCAGAGTTTTTTGCTGTCCTGTGTAAAGGTCAAGAGATGTGAAGTTCAGTGGGTGCATCTGGATGTTTTACCATATCTGGCTTAGCTGGAAGGTTTGTGTCAGTATTGTTCATTTTGCCTGAACAAGAGCTGAAATAATGAGCCAGCCTCTGTGACTGAGCACAGCTTTATCTTCAGTACCCATCTGATAGGAGACAGGAGCAACCAGAGCCACAGTAAGGACGGGATCACCAGGAAGCCACTGAATAAGATTCTTTGAAGAAATTTCCTGTGTCTTCAGATACTTCATCCAGAAACCTTTCTCTATTTTGCAATGGCTCTGAGGGAAGCACATGATACACTGAAAGACACTGAATAATCTTCTGACTGGCCAGATCTATTCTGTACCATTGTCAAAGAGTCCAGTAAATACACATGGGAATAATTTCCATTTGTGTGCAAAAGCAAATATAACTGACCTTTTAATACACTTCTGCAGACAGTCACGTCTGTGAACTTTGCATCTGCAGAGATTGCATTCAGTGTGCCTCAAAAGCTATGCCCAAACTTAGAAGGTGAAATGAAACTCTGAAGTTTAACTTTTTTTCACCCTTTTGAGAACGAGGTTCTCTTGAAAAACCTTGGTTTGTTGATTTATCCCCAGCTTTGTAGCAGAAGTTTCTTGTCCCCGCTATGCTTCGAATTTCCACTTTGCAAAAATGTAACAGTCTCTCATTCCTTGTAATTTGGAGGTAAGAGTGAATGATGCTGTGTTACTGAAGAATATATTTTAAATTTGTCTTTCATTAGGCTTTTACAGGTCAAATCACTATAAAGTTAGTAAGTGATGCTATATGATACACTGAGTAAGGAAAGGCAAGATTTAAGACTTCTAGGTGAGTCTTAAATGAGATGAGGGATTGTGCTACCAATGTTTCAGGACCTGTTTAAACACAATAAACACTGTGAAAATGGATTGCTGCAAAGGAACTGCAGTATTTCAGAAGCTTCATGCCTCCAAAGGGAGAAGCTCTTGCACCCTTTTCCCTCTCTGCTTTTGCAGAATTTGCAATAGTTTTTGTAGGACTTCATGTAGACTCCTCCTGCTGAGTTCTTTTTACTGTCTCTAAGTATGGTTTTACTCTACATACTTGACAAATGTCAGATGAACTATAGGGAAATATTTGATTACATGGGATATCTGCTCCTAGGGCTGGTGGTTTTTTGTTTAACTGCACTGTTAGGTCCATGAAAGAGCAAGATACTCAAGCACAGACCTCTTCAGTGTAGGGCTTGTTTACAAACAGCGAGTGGCTGCTTCCGTGGGATCTCACCTAACACACAACTGTCCATGTCTGTGGGGCACTTCAGCCTCCTGTGGGCTGCTCAGAGCATTTCCTTGTAAGGGATCAGGATTTTCCACCATCAAGACAGCTAAAGCTTTTTACTGTCGCAGGGTAGGACGTAGACAAAGGTTGATTTTGTCCATTTTTCACAGGCATTCATCCAAACCAAACCATTTCAGATTCAGGCCAGTTGGAGTAGCTGAGTACAAACATAAAGATGCTACTTAAGGACAAGACGAAGCGATGAGTAAGTCACTTTTCTATATCTGTCCCTCTTTAAGAGACACACTCGTCTCTGTAAAAGTTCAGATTAACCTCAGTAAAAGACAAATACACATATTAACATGCCTTGAGCAACCAACCTGATCTCTGTGACCCATAAAATGAAAATAAGGATTTTCTTTTTTAAATTTATCTATTAGATTCTTGTGAGTATTATTCAAATATGAAATACCTACAGTGGTGGGACATGTCAGAATCTTGAATTGACAAATTTAAATCTAGCAAATGTTAAATGATCAACAATTTGTCAATATAATCTCCTAAATAAATCTGAAGGATTAGTGATGATCTCTTCACTAAAGTTGTCTTCTACATTGTAGGACATTTATCAATTAACTAATTTATTAGAGATTATTGGTCAGTGGTTATTTTAAGGGCTGCTACGCTGACTTAGATGGGCTTTAGCACTTTGGAAGTTATGATTTCAGAAGTGGATGCTGTGGGTTCTCCTAAAGATTAATAACAAAAACCTGTGTATATTTCTGGGGGACAAAACAGAGTCTGTTTGCTTTTCACTGAAATTAACATAAATGTCATGGGTTTGTACAAAATCCAGGTTTTTATTTTTCTTGGTTGCAAAATGTACCAGCTGATGATAAGGAAAGTCAAGAAAAAAACCACCTATGTAGTTTTTGTATTTCATATTATTTACATGAAAACCAGTGTGAGAGATATTCCTGTAGCAGAGCAGAAGGGATTCTATTACAAAATCTTTTCTCAGAACATTGTTTCTGACTGAAATTTGTGTGATGAGGTCGAATAGAACTTTAAGTTGGTTGAGGTATTTTTGTTTCTTGCCTGAAGGAGAGCAGAGGGAGGAGGAGATGCAACAGAGAATTAAGACAAGAATTTGTCAGTATATTTAAAGAGCTGTCATAGAAATCAAGTGCATCTTGTCCTGGTCTTTCAGTTTCAAGATGAGGATAAGAAAATATGGAATCACTGGGATGAGAACAGAGCAAGGGCAAGGGAAGCCAAACCCATTGCAGCAACTACATTTCCAAATACAGAATAGTTTAATTGTCTGTCCTTGTTAGGCTTGTTTTCTAGATTTAAAAATAGCCAAGATTACTCTTTAATCAACACTTGCAAATTACGATCTGGCAGTGACCTGTGCTGAGCATCCTGCACGTCTGTGTCTTTGGGTGGTCACGGATTTATGAGTTTTCCTGAATGCCTCCTGGGCAGATGGGAGAAAGGCCACTGTTCTTTCAGGCTCATAAATAAATGCCAGTTTTGGCAGTGACAAAACTGAAACTTGGATCGTACCCTTTACCTTCTGTCTCCCCTCATGTCTAAAATACAGGGAACTACCACAGTATATTGACCATGTTTGATTAAAACATTTCAAATTGATGCTTACCAAACTCTGAGGTTTATACAATGCTGGTCTAGAAGGTGCTATCCTCCACTGCTTTTGGGGGAAAATTGTCCAGTGGTTTGCAAGGTATTTTTAAAAGTTGCTAGTTGATCCAAAAGAATTCTGCCTACCCCTTTAGATTACTGTATTCACATATGTGATAATGTTTCATTGTTCCTCCTATTTATATTCCCCTTAATATTTTTTATGTAATTAAATGAATTGTTGTTTCTCTAGGTGTTTAAAAATAAAGAAGCAATTTCTTCCTTACAGGCATTAGCGTAATTGGGCCAAACTTAATCAAATGTCTAACTAATCATTCTATTAGTTATTCTATTAGTTTTGATGCCTTAAGTTCTAGCTTTCATAGCTTCCATATTTTCCAGATGCTGTACTGCATTGGTATATAAGTCTGAACTCCATATGAAGTGCCAGCCAGTTCTCCTCACAGCTCAGGCACACACAACAATCCTTCTCCAGCCCCACAACCAAGGACACCGCTGCAGCTCCAGCCCCAAAAAGCACAACCAGCAGCGAATTGAGGAGAGCAATCTGGGAGGATGGGACTGCATCACCTGCAGCTGGAATGGGACAATTAACCCCAATATGGAAATGGACAAAACTGATCAAAACGTGAAAACTCATAACCTCCACCTTGGGTGTAGCCTTGGCCAGGCTCTTGCAGTGCCCAAGGTGCATCCTTTGAAGGATTTTTAATAAATCCCTGCTTTATTCCTTTAACTCTGTCCAGCCCCTGCTCCAGGCAGCCTCTCGTGGAATCAGCTTCAGTGGAAAAAACCTCATTAGAACCTGTAACTGAACTAAAACCCTGCTGATTAAAAGCTGATGACCCACGAACAACAGATATGCCATTATACATGTTTATAATATCCTCTGAAATGGAATAAGAAATTAAATGAGAAAATGTCTGGAGAGAGGAAAATATTGCATTATCTCTGCATATTTTATTGTCATCTTCAAGAATGACTCTGAAGGAAGAATGACTCATTTTGGAAACAGAGAAGGTAATGAAATCTCCATGAAAGGTCTGAAACTGGATGGTTACAGTGACTGTCATAAATAGGTTTCCATAAGCTAAATAAGGGAATTTGGTGAAATGTCCAGGTGCTGATTTGGGCAAGTCATTAAATATGTTGGGAGGTGGGATTGCCTGAGTTTGAGCTACAGGAATACTTAAGAATTCTTAAATCACAGCAAGTATTACAGTGTGGTCCTTATTTTGGTTACCATTACCTCTCCTGCATCTCTTCTTTCTCCTTGTAACTTCTCCTTGTGCATTGCAGAGTAGTAGAAATGTCTACGGCTACTGTACTTTAATGTTTGATTAAAGCAAATTATACCAGAGGAGCGGTCAGAAGAATGCTTTCATAACCTAGCAAAATATTCTCAGGAAGAGAAAAAGTAATCCCTGCGAAATGACTGTTTCTAAAAAAAGGAACAACTTATTAGACTCGAATGGTTCTTCTCAAAGATGAGCCAGTCATGGAGCTCATCCATCATTTCCATCAACATCATGGCAGCAGGAGCTGTGGAAAGAAATGCTCAAGGACAAGTTTTCTGATCTTTCCCTGTGGCTTGGTGCCAGTAACCCAGCTATTAGGTAAGGCTTTGCTTCACCTCTGCTCTTTCTAACTCTGACATGCGGTGAGAGGGACGCTTGGAAACATGGATGAGAAAAATAGTAGCGTCCCACTCACATGAGGATTAGTTACTGCACAAGATGCTTTATGGGACTGCTCGGTTTTCTTTTCTCTCCCTCAGCTTGAAAAGTTCTGATATTTCTTGGTCTCTATTGTTCCATACTATTTATAACATGTAGCTACCCAGATCTGTATCAGCCACTGTAGCTCCCTTGCTACATTAGAAGAATGTTATTGTCGCCTTTCTGTCTAAAATTACCCTAGTGTGCTTTATCTTCTCAGTTTCCTCTTATTATTCTCCCTCAGATCATTGTTCTTGATGCTGTTTCTAAAAGTAATGTATTGATTTCCTGTCTCTCTCCCTGTGTTTTGATTATTAAGATGATAAATGTTTTAAGATCGTCTGCCATTTATTACCTTTATCGTATCTCTCTTACACGACAGTTTCTACATCGAATTTAAGAGCTGAATCACAAGCCTAATGACTCCAGAACAGCCATCAACACCTCAAGAAAAACCTCTGTGTTCTTTGTTTTATTTCTTCATTTCCAAGGTGCTGGTAACAAAGGACTATTTGTTTTCCAGGAGCAGCGAGATGATGGCTTGTATTTACGTCTCTGAAACCAACATCCACTCAGTGCCTGTCACAGAAACAACTTCTGAAAAGAAGCTGCTGTAACAGAAATATTAATCTTTTTTAATTTGCTTCAGCTCATAAATCAGATATGTGCAAAGCCTGGAAGTTTCAGGTCCATAACTATGCTACTTCTTTGTCATTCAAACTTCAGAGTCAAAAGATTCAAAGTCAAAAGTTGACTGCAGCTCTTCATGAGGTTTAAAGTCTTAAAAATCTTATGAAACCAGTGTTATTTTCCTACACAGAACCCTAAGTCAGCCTAAGTTTCTTCAGCTGGTAAACTGTCACATGCTTTGATTTAAAAGGGAAAAATTTGCACTTTTGCTTACTTAGAGCCAGCTTTGAGTTGGTGAGAGCTCTCACACCTCTGCTGCTGGGGGAGCCTCCTGCCTCAAGGGCAGTGCCCTCGCTGCAGTGTATAAACCTTGTCTTGGACTCCAACTGACTGTCTCCTGTTCCTCTGATTCTGCTGATGTGCTGCAGTTAAACCTCCCTGGAGAAAGGCAGCCAAGGCTTGTCCTGCACCATTGTCTGGTCCTTGGCGATGCTGGAAGGGAAACATGTGGGCAACTGAAGGCCCGTAGTAATCTGGGGATGTGGAGAGAAGTGGAGCTATGAAAAAGAAAACTGGGTGAAGGGCATGGACCACAAGAGTGAGGAGAGGTGGACGCTGCTCCCTGTGAGCTTGGCATCCCAAAGTGTCCTGCTGGAGGCAGAGGCTGGCACGCCTACACCCTGTGTCTGAAGGGCAGTGTGGGCAGCGCTGAACCTCAGTGCAGCTAAAGCCCTGCTTGAGGATGTCATTTTAGAGAGTCAAAGCAAAAGCTAACCCAGCCCACGTGTTGGAACATGGCTGGATACCACGGGCTTGAGTGGAATTTCACTCCAGCAGAGGCTTACTCCAGTCATGATCCTATATTCGGAAAGATAAACACGAATGTATGCTTACATCCCGAACACAAGTTATCCAAGGGAGATAAGGCAAGAGAAAGTAAATAGAAGTCATGCTATAGACCAGAATGCCAGCTGACCTCGTGTTTTGTCAGCTCACTTCCCAGTATTTGCTCTGCTGAAAGGAAAACCTGAGTATTTGCAATGTTTGTGGATGGATTGGCGCATTGGTCTTTACGCTTGTCTGTCTCAGCTCTGCAAACAAGATAAGGAGTGGTTAAGGTACCCTGCTGACTACGTGGGCACCCCGACCGCAGCCCAGCCAGGAACAGGGCCAGAGCAAGATGTGCACAGTGTGTGAAAGGATCTGCAGGGAGCTGAGGATGTTTATGCAGCCATAAAGAGAACAGGTGTGTGTGTGGGGGGTGACTCCATAGAAAACCCAACATCCTGTTTATCAAAGGAAGTCTCTTGGTTTTTCACGGAACCACTCATCCTTGCATTTGCATCTTTGGGCAAGAGAAATAAGGAGCAAAAGTAAAAATAGCTGCAGTATCAGACTTTCTTCCTGAAAGCTGCTTTGCATGGGGGATGTTTGAAGGGCTGGGCTCAGACAGAGAAATGTAATAGTGCTGTCAGGGCCTGGCTGGGAGCTCTGTTATGTCTCTGAACAATAGAATAATTTCCATCTGCTTGGTCGGAGCACAAACCTCTATTTCTGACAATACTTGGCATAGTCTTAACACTAAAACTACTATTTTCCATTGTTTTTTTGACCCTCAGATAACTTGGTTTATGGGCAAAAATTTACTACCTGCATGCATTGTATTTAATGGAGCTGGCATTCTGCCACAAACGAGCTTTTCTGCTGCGTTTTCTTCAGGGGGAGGAAGCTGCAAGACAATGGCTGTGTGCAGCTTCATTCATTTCTGGTGAAGCCTTGCTGAGTGGCACCAAAGGCTGATGTCCTGGCCATTGGAGATGGAGGCTGTAGAGTTCTCTCCTCCTATCAGTGGTTTCCAGATCCGTGATTCAGATGGAAACCTTTGTCACTTTTAGGCCAGTGGAAGTCATCTCAGGATCCCAAGAGTCAAAGAGCATCTTTTTCCACCTTGTGTATAATGGCAAACAATAAATATTCCAAAAAGCCCTAGCAGGGCTGTAGCAACAGCAACGCAGAGGCTGTGATGCACATGTAGAGCTTTGCAAATGGTTTTATTCATGGGCTCAAGGTGGAGTAAAGCACACCCCCTCTTGCTCAAGGGGGCTTGGAGTAGAGATTTCTCCAAGAAGAAGGAGCATGTTTGGGCAGTAGCTTTGCAGAAAGAAAATTTGCAGGTTTAAGTTGGTTCAGGCATAGAACACTTACAAAAAAAAAAAAAAAAATTGTTAAGGGAAAAAAAAACCCAGTGAAATCCAAATGTCATAATTTTGCTAGTTTTAGGCATGTGCTACTATTCCCTGTGAGAGCCCTGGTAACTCTTTTTGCCAATTTAATGGCAATAGTAAAGTATCTGTAGAGACTTTACCTATACACTTTTATATATGCTGCAAAGCTATTTGACCAAAAGGCAACCCCTGACATCTTTGAAATGCCTTCTAGAAATACAAGCCAATGCCTTTTTATAGTAACCTGCTGACAAGGGTAATTTATGTATTCTACAATATAGAAAATGCTGCAGGCAGTGCTATTTTTGGCCGTGTAACCTTTAAGCATATTTAGCTATATAGTAGGAAATTGGATTTTAACAGGTGAATAACTTAATATAGCAAGGCAGATGAATTACAGATGTGGACAATGTCTGTCCAGATCCCTGTTTTTTCCTGGCTCTAAATTATTCCTCTGGGATGGCCAGAAGCCAGCTATGGGGATTATTGATAAAACTGAGTTAAGAATAGATTAGAACATTTCTCTTGTGTATAATGTTTCTCTGTTGACTGTGTATATTTTCCATCTTCCATTAAGCACCGCAAGCCAGACTTTTTAAACCCAATTTTAAACTATTCATGTTCTGCATACGTAATATTATTGTGAATGCTTGAGTTCCTTGTTTGTAGGGGAAGGGGTGTTTTTTAAAAAGCCATACTGCTGTAAATAAGAAGACAAGCATTTCAGCATTTTGCTTAGGTATGGATTTTCTGGAGAAGTAAAACTTTTCTTCCAAAGCCTTGCCAGCTGTCAGGGCTGGGTGGCCGAAATGTGTAATACCCTTTCATTTTAGTTGGTGGTGCCAGTGCCATTCAGCCAGTGACTGTCAAAGTGGTACTCCAGCTGTGTAATTTTTTTTTTGTGTATTT